ACTGATTGTTTGCCCCCTGGTGGCGACATTTTCATTTTCTCGCGTTTGGAAAACGACAAAATATGCTGGCCCCTATAAGAATAAAGTGTTTTGTTACAATGATCTACATGAAAAAAATTATAACGTTATATTACCGTCTCTGAATCTCTTCTCGACACTCTGCCCGCTCGTCGCGACCCTCTCTCTCTTCTCTCTCTCCGTGTGATGGTCACACGGGGACGAAGTTCACGCAGGTCGTCTGCTCATCTCTCTCCCTTCTCTCTCATCTCGTCTCTCATCGTCTCTCTCTCTCTCCTCCCCAGATCTCTCTCTCTCTCTTTTTCTCTCTCTCTCTTTCTCTCTTACCGTCCTCCTCTGCTACTTTCCCTCTGTATATACTTGCAGATTAATGGCGAGAGTGTCGAGTGTTTTACCCATGATGCAGCAGTGGAGCTGCTACGTCGCGCTGGCGACAGCGTCTTGCTCACTGTTCGTCACTACAAGGTGGCAGCACCGTTCCTCAAAAGCTGTGAGTGCTCTGATTGGTCCATCTATCAACACGCGAACAAACAACTCCGACGTACTTATTTAGATGATGCAATAAATAGATACATATGTAACCCAACACAGCGTAGGGTCCCCTTATTCCGGGTTACCTACTCTTGTACCTGCTCTTGTGCTCGGTTACAATTATTGTATCTATATTTCATTGTATAACTGTATAACAAGTATATACTGTATAACATGCACATTTATGTTGTTGTATCGTATGCAAATGTCTAATAACGAAACTCTTCGTAATCAGTGGATCGATTAATCGGGGCCCTACGTACATTATTGCGAAAACATATATTCATACGGTTGAAGTTTTAGTTGTTACCTGTGTAACAAGTTACCTGTGTTTTTAGAGTAAACAGTGTCAATGGGACATATCACGAGTCGATGCAGGCTTCTCCGGCACTATATTAGAGGCAGTTGGTACTGTGTCCACTGCTGCTGTAGGCGCTCACATCAAAAGTTAGTTTCCAGAATAAATTTGGTAAATTAAAGCGCAAATAACGACAAAGTTGGAATAACACAGCGCCGCCATAATAAAGTTGGGAAACACGAATGGAGGCAGATATATACTTGTCTGGCCCATCTCATTTTCCATCGCACTCATCGACACGCGATTCCGCATAATGCGTCCGCTCCCACTCCTCAACAGTCTTGGTCTCCGCTAGGTAATAATTTAGTAGGCAGAACGCATTTAGCGGCTAAAACGCACGTAAATAAACGGTAAGTGTATCAGTACGAAAGGCGTGTGATTGTGTCTCAGGATATAACGTAAAGTGTGGGTGCGGAGCGCGTTCGATTAAGTTTCTTCCGCAAGCGTGTCGTGTCTATTTGGATGCACGCGCCAGGCTATTCAAGTAATCTAGTAGCTGGAATTTTAAAGCATTTAGCGAAGGATGCACATTACGAAGTCTGCTTTTTCCATCGGGAAGGATGCATTTCAGCGATGAATTTTGGTCGTGCTAGCAGATGCGTTTGAGGTTGATTTCACCGGAGTACTTAACGTAGGCAAGAGAAATGCGTTGTACATATATACCGCATGCATGACTTTTGTGAGTGCGATAACGTTTTTTCCCAGCAAAAATATTGAACAATTCTTTTGCTTATTAGCACGCAAGAAATCGACAGATGTATGGGAAATTTGAGTGACGGACGTCAAACAGAAGGTGAATGTTTATGAGCAGGTATTTTATTTCTATTAGCTTGACTTTTAAATGCATGTCAGGCGCGTCTCTTTCCTTCTCTCTCTCTGCTCTTTCTTTCCCCGCTCATCCGGATCTTTCTCTGCTCTCTCGCTTCTCTTATGCTTTGCGTCTCATCTTTCTGCTGCTACTCTCACTTTCTCTCTTTTCTCTTCTTGCTCTTCTTCCTCGGCGATCTCTTTTTTTCCTTACACATTGTTTTTCTTTCTCTCGCCTCTCTGCATTTTCTCTCTTTCTCTCTCATATCGAACTTTGCCTCTTCCTATCTTCTTATTTGTCTCTGCTCTGCTCTTATTTTCTCGTCTTCTTTCTGCTCTTGGCGTTGTCTCTTCTCTCGCTCTGCTTTTTCTTCTCTCTCGTTCTCGAGTCGTTTCGTTGTCTCTCTCTCTCTCTCTTTCTTTGTCTCTGGCTCTTCCTTTCTCCTGCCCTTCATCCTTCCTCGCCTCTCGATCATGAAGCGTAAACTCTATATTTGTTTTAGCACGATGGCATCCTTTACTAACATATCGAATCACCGTCGTATGTTATGACATATTCCGTTAACTAATAAAGTGCAAGGTATAGATAACAGTAGTATTTACGGTCTGCCGTTTTACGCTAACTGCAAGAAATTCGCTAAAATGCTGTTGCCATGAACGACTACTACATTATCCCATGCAAAGTGGCCATCTAAGTATTTGTCCCATATCGAAAATATAAAACGTCTAATGTGTATTTAAAGAGGAATGTAAAATGACGAGTAAGGACGAAAATTCAGCCTTTTA